GAGGGACGGGAGGGGGGGTCTGGCTCCCTGAGGGCGCGGCCCGGGCCGTGCGCTGGGCGGGGCAGGGAGGCGGCGTGGGGCCGGCACACCGCGGGGAGGTCTCTGTTGGTGTCAGGGGGCCAGCGGCAGATGAATTTACGCTGGCAGGGAGGAGGAGGGGGATTTGTGTTAGCGGGTGGACGGTGCTTCTGTCTCCCACGCGTGTCAGGGCCTGCAGGGGACTGGCGTGTGCCCGGAGAGGAGGTGAAGGGAGGGCGGGAGCCGTGTGCCCCGCTCTGCCCGCAGGTTCAGCGGTGGCCTTTGGAGGTCAGGGAGAGGGTTATAAAGCACACTCTTGAAGATACTCTTAGCTAACAGGTGCAAGAAAATGCATCTTGGTGTTTTTTCTTTAAAACACTGCTTATGTGTTTGTCTAACTTTATTTGGCTTTTCAACGGATTTTAAACTGCAACGGCAGTGTTGGTCTGATAACTTGTACATCTAAATAAATGGACAGAATTTGAGTTAAATGAGGTGATGGGTTATAGTTACGGTTGTGCTCAAAGTGATAGGTGAGGCATAACTATTTAGAATAGTCGAGGTTAGAAAAGATCAATAAAGTCAAAGGAATAAAACAAAATTGTAAGACAGACAGCAGAATAGATTGCACTCGCCTATCCTAAGTACCTGTGCGCACTATAAAAAAAATTAAACAACTCAGATGGACTTAGGGATAAAAACTCAGGAAGGAAGACAAAAGCAGCAGCCAGGACAGCGTGGCTTCTGTTTACGCAATTCATGTCTCATTTTCCATATATACAATTGGTTTAGAAAAAGTAAGCAAATATCAAGGTGGATAAAGAGTAGGGCTAAGGATAATTCCAACATTTTTATAATACTACTAGAGAAATTAGTGTCATCCTCCTCAAATATTCAGCAGCATGCCTCAGAAAAATGGAGTGGTCCGAAGAAGAACAGTGACACTTGTTAGAGTTAAAAAAGTTTAGGGCCATTTATTTTAAAGTGGTATTACGGAGGTTCTAGAGTAAGGACTTGAAGTGGAAATATTCATGCAGTTGAATACACTAAAGTATCTTTTCTCAAAATATTGATGAAGACATTTGTAAGAGATGAAAACAAATTTAAAAAACCCAAACGAACCAACAAACTAGTGTGATAATACCAGGACTGTAGGAATCATTTGCATCAGCAACTCCACTCCCTGATATTGCAGACAACCTCTTCATATAACACCTTTCATAAAGTGATCAAGCATAGTGGTACAGCTGTTCAGATATCCTGCTGCATGCATGTATACCTAAAAGGCTGTCCAGAGCTTTGCTGCTTTCATGTTTAGACTGAATTTATTTTGCTTTCTAATTTTTCATGTCATTTTTTGAGTGTTCTGACACTCAATAACTTGAGTTATTCTTTAGTTTAATAACACCCTTCTTAGATGTTTAAGGTTGGATATAGTTTTAGGTCACAGTCCTATTGTTTATGTAATTATTTGAGGTTTGCTACTTCTCTTTCAAAATGAGGGGAACCCAGGCAGTTTAGTACTCTCCAGCTGAATTTTAACTCCATAAAAGGTTTGGGGAAAATATTATGTGATTAAATTATAGATACTTAGAGGTGGTGACCTGGTGGAGAAAAGAGTCACCGTTGCTTTTCAATAATAAATATATCAGATTTGATATTCGATAGGTTAACTGGTATAGTAGGTGAGGAGATGCAACTGATACACAAGATCTCGACTTTGATAAAGCTTTCTACATTACCTTCCCTGTGAGAATTGCACTTCGGTGAAAGTATGGCAAAGGTATGCTTCTTATCATTCGTGTTCTCAATGGATTGAAAAAATATTATAAAATGTAGTTATCCGGTGCCTTCCAAATTGAAAGGTATCTTAGATGGGGTGGGTCCTGCAGAAATAATGTGGGCTGTAATATTGTGAAAAAAGAGAAATGTCATTATAAGACAGAGAAACTTGTCAAAAGTAGAGTAAACCATGGAACAGAACTCTTCCAGTCTACTCAAAGTCCTCAGCTGGAGTAATTTTCCAGCTTTGTGGTGCCACTGTAGAGATGATGAAGACAAACTGTAAAGTCTAGAGGAGAGCAACATAAAAGATACAGCAGAAATTCCACCTTTAAGGAATGCTTGAAGGAATTGGCTTAGTTTATTTTAGAAATGTCTGAGAAGTTCTGTACATCATATATTGAGAGTGATGATTGCTTTTCATAGCTTGGGAAAGAAGTACCAAAATAAATGAGTTTTAGATCAGATGTTAAGAAAATATTGCTCTTTGTTAGGAAAGAGCACTCGTGATACATACTTAGGGTTTTTAAGGAGAGGTTGAGCAACCATCTGGCAGCAGTGGCGTAGATTTTCTCAGTTCTGCTTCAGTGCTGGAGCTAGGACTTCAGCTTCCCAGGCCAAGGTAGACCTGTGGTTGTCCTTTTGGCCCTCCTAGTGTTTTTGCATGATTTGCCATAGGTCATAGCAGACATTTTTGAAACTGGTTTCTTTGACTTTGTACTGCCTAATTTCATTCCATTTCTGTTACCGCAGAGCTCTTTCCTCCAGAGGCAATATTATATAGAAAAATATTCTATTATATTTCTTTCCAGGGTTTCATGTCTCCCTGCCTTAAAATTATTCTCCCCTGTGAATACTTCAGAATGTTTCTGTGTTGCTACCCAAAGGCGTCCCAAGGATTAAGAAAAAGGAGAATTCATGCAATTCTTGTTAGTTCCCCAGATGTCTATTGAACTCTGAAAGCATCTCTGAAGCTGAACAGAATTGTGCTAAAAGATCAATTACAGCAGAAAAGACACTGAATCTATGCACAGAATCAGAAGGAGCATGTCTTTGTAACCCTTTAAATTCTGCTGAATTTATTGGTAATACTGAAACCAAAGGTTTCTGTTAGATTCTTGCATCCTGTACATCATTTATTTCACTAGACAGGTACAGGACTTTATTCTTCAGTACTGCTGGACTTTTCATCAGTACCGCATTTGCTTTTTTTATGGAAAAAAAAATCAAACGGCTTTCATATCTTCCCTTCTTACACTACATATTTGAATGAAAAATCCCCGTGCCACTTTTTTTAAAGGCTCCAAGGTTAAAGAGATCATGATTCAAAGACAGATGAGTCTCATTATACACACACACACACAAATATATATTAAAAATATTTCTTACTTTTTAGTGTAAATTATCTTGATTGTTTTTTCTTTGTTCTTTTGGGCCTGGGGCTGTTAGAATATTTCAGTGCAGAAGGCATTTTCTTCATTGATCTTTAAACCTCAAACTGACAACAGCTTTCAGAGTAAGGTGTATAAATCAGTTTTCAGTCATGCTTTCTCAGAAGATAAAGTATTTTTTTGTGAGCACCAACAAGACTGTACAGGGTAGGAATTAAACCTGCAGGAAACCTTGATTTGTGAATGTTTCCTTTAACTCTCTAAACTTCGCAGATAAGATATCTCTGCATGGCGTAAAACAGTAAGCATGCAGGAGAGAGTGATGTAACCTGGCATGGAGTATCTTAACAGCTTGAGTGCTACAGGGTGAGTAGTGCTAAAGCATCGGTAAAGATGGTAACATCTGTGGAGGTGTTGGGATGAACTCCAGCGACCTTACAGATGTATCTGTAAAATTTGCTGTTATGATGGAGGGCTGCGCAGCCTCTGTGGTAACTTAAACATCTTTGTCAGCTATATTGACATCTCCGTTTCTTATCATGATAATGGGAACTCTTTCCTTATCACATGAAGCTTAACTTACAAGTCTTTAGGATATTTGGTTCTGTTATAGAAGAAGAGCTTCAGTCACTGCTGCTTTATATTCCACAGTCAACTCTACCTGACCAAAAGGGATGTGTCTGTCAATGTCCTACTGCCGCTGTGATGCTTCCGAGAGAGGAAGGCTCTTTGGTATTACAGCTTGTGGATCCAGCGTCACACCTTCCTTATGAGACACTGAACATGTAAGGTTACTTCTCTAGTGCAGTTAGAATGTTTGAAGGTTGCTGGAAGTTATTTTTTCAGACAAGTGTAAATGGTGATTCTACATCATTGAGGAAATATGTTTGGATTTCAAAATTGCAAAGCAGTAACAGTTTTAAAACACCGGTTAAAAAACATTTCATGTGCTCACACCACTCTCTAAAACTTGTGTTTGTGGTTCTGTCTCTGTCCGATTCTAGACAAGAATCTTTCATGCTCTCTAAGTTGCAAAAGGAATGTATAGATGCAGTTCCAGTTCTGCTGTCAACATGTTACAAGGGAAAAAATAAATTCTGAGGATCTGAAGTGGTGTCTTAGGAGACAGGAAATATATTCTGTGGCTCATTTGGTGATTTTTATTGCATACCTAAAGTAAGTAGATTGCACTATATATGTAGTGCTGTAAGTTTCAAATTTGCAGTATGTTGCAACATTCTCCATATCTATAGCTGTAGATTTTGACTTCTTTTCATTTTTCTGGGTTTTTTTTCCTCATTCTGTAATGACTGTACTTTTACAAGTACTTTGCTTCTCCTTCTGGATCTTGTCTTTGGTGTTTTACGTGCTGTGTCTAGTGTTGCCAAAAGAGAAGACGGGGGTAGCTTGGAACAGTGAAAGATTTTTCTGTGAATAAGTATGTTTCTAAAATCTATTTCCATCAGTGCTTATGCACACAGACTGTACTACAATGCCATCTACATTGCTGCCTTGAACAGTGCAAGTTTACTTTGATAAACGCTTTGTCAAGAGATGCCAAGAATGCCTGTCATGTACAGGACAAGAAAAAAGGTCAGATTAGAGAGTCCCTAGCAATGCTGCAGCAATGTGGTCCGTGCTTCCAGGCACCATTAGAGAAGGTCAGTGGCATCTCAGGCCCTTGTTAATGAACCAGTTGTCTCTCAACCTTTTTGACAGACAAAACAAAACAAAACAAAACACCTTTCCCAGACATCAGGACATGAAATTACATGTCTGTGAATTAGTTTTGTTCACTGGTGAAGTCAGGGTCATCTGGAAGCCATGACTGATGCTCATAAATGTTCTGCAAATATTGTGAAATGGTATTTTATTGTGCTCTGAGTCACTGAAAGTGAAAGTTTTACAGGGTTAATGGGTAGGGAAATGATGTTTTTATCATTTAAATGTATTTAAGTAACTAACTTTCCAAAGATTTCTTTAAATACAACATACCAAATTAATTTCATATAAAGCTGCTGAATTCTGAGTCCTGGGGTATGCTGAATACAAGGCACGCCTTCTTCCCACGGATTCTGGAGGATCTGCCCTCCATCATAAAAGATGATATGAACACTGAGAAATACGGAAAATTCTTCTCAGGAGTAATCATGTTTCTGAGATCTATTGTTGCCATCAGTGTCTATGTGTAGAAACTTACTACATTATCTTCTGATATTGTTTGAAAAAGGATTACTACAATCAGTATTTTTCACTTTTAGATATGTCAGTGTTATTGTTAACATCATTCACATTATCGGCTTGAACAATTCATAGTATTGAATTGCGGGGCTTTTATTAATATCTATTACTTCATGTAACTTTACAACAAAATTTGACACATGCAGAACAGTTGATTTAAATGTTAATATGCTTTTGAGAGATTAATAGAAGTTAACATTTGCCCATGAGAAGAGAATTCTGACTTCTAATATTTGTAGATAAATTTTGATTGCCTGTAAAAATCCCAAGTATTACATTTGTAGCCCAGAAGAGCAATAAATACAAAACTGTTTTTAGAATTTTAAAATGGTTGCTTCCAATCAGCGAATCACAGAGTGCTGCTTTTATGCTTCAGTGACTTGTATTATAAATATTGGGTCTCTACGCTTATGATGAGATATGTCTTTGACTTCTGCTGCGCTTCTGCTTTGCATCTCCTGTTCATCTGTGTGTGTTTGAATCCACAGCGGAGTGTGGAGCTGTTCCAGACAAAACCACCCCCTGGAACTGTTTGTGCCAGAGTGGAAGCCAGTGTGTTCAAACTGAATGGGCTTCTGTGGACTCCAGTTTGTGCAGTCTGAATTAGCTGACTTCCATCTTTCAGTTGACTGTCAGGCCTTAAAATTTCTGAGCTCATCTTTTGAGTCAACGCCTTAAACTTTTCTTTTGATTCTTAATCTTGGAGTACTATTTTCCAGATAAATGTTAGACAAACAAACAGGCAATCTTTAGTACTCCAGATTTCCCCTCTGTTTCATTTTAAAACATAAAGAGTGTATTTGCATTGTTTAATGCTGTTAGAATGGACTGATCTGGCACTCAGTGGAACTGAGGTTCTGTGTTGAGCCTCAGAACAGGAACGTAAGTACAGACTTGCCTGGTTTTACTTTGTGTGTTTGGTCCTGCTCTAAGTCTCCACCTTCTTCAAGGGGTGGTGAAGGTAAAAGATGTAAGATTAATATTTATTCTAAAGTACATTTCACCTTCATCCCCTGTCCAGCGTTGTCAATAGGGAAATATTCCTTGACTAGTAGTGAAGAACTAGTAGTTCTTTTTATGTTCTTTAATGCATGTTTCAGTTTATTGGTGTTTTGAGCTGGGCCTAACACATCACAAGAACAGCAGGTTGCCATGAGGTGTAAACAGTTTCTTATTGTAATGTACCTTGGCTAGATTTGAACCTGTGAGTAGTGGGAATGATAATTTTAATAAGGAATTGAAATTTCGGCTTTTAGAAGCTTATGAAGAAAGAAAAGGTGGTGTTCAGAAACTGCAGCTTGACCACCAGGCAGACTTGTTTTTCGAACAGCTGCAGCTGCTTGAGTGAAATTCCCTTGTCATCTGACCA